GAGGCTGCTGGGTGATTAAACAGAAGCTGCTAAACCCAGGCAGAAGTCATCATAGGTGGTAGTTGGTATCTCAGTGAAAAAAATCCTAAAACTTCTCAGCTGCTGCCTCCAGCAGTAGGTTTAGGTGTGGTAGCACAGTTTGTGTGTATTTCTTCAGTGCTACAAACACCTCTCTGCTGTGAAAATAAGTGCCCTAACTGATTGTAGGGAGTTAGCTCTCCTTTAATGTGTTTAGACCATAAAAGGTTGTTTTCCCCTTAATGGTACTTCGTTGCCCTTGTTCAATCTCTGCTGGCAGTAGGAAGGAGATGGTTAAAACAGGCCAACTCTTATGTGTGAGCTGCTGCTGACTGGATAGCGCAAATCTGTGCTGGGGGCCATGGTGGCTCTGCCTTGTGCCCAGTGGGTTCCTGTGCTGCTCCTTCCCTGCATGGGGATACAGCTGCTGGGTCCTAATAGGGCTGTGTCTGCTCCTGGAGAATCCTTCCCCTAATGTATCTGTGCCTGAATACCATGAAGAGTTAAGAGTGGTTGCATCTAGACCATTATCAGATATTTGTGGATGATATGATAATTAAATACGTAGCTTTCTTCTGAGGGGGATGTCACTCCTAAAGTCAAAGGAATTAAGAAAATAGGTGTGGGGCCTTTCTCATACTTCTTTGCTCAGCCCTACACGAACGGCAGTCCAATGCCTCTGTGTAGTCTGCTGCGGAATAGTTTCCTTTCAACACTTGTTTGTTATGGCTTCGCAAGCACTGTAAACAATCCTCTTCATATGATCTAAATGATTAGTGTAAACATTGACAAACAGAATTTTATTGCTTGCACCTGGTAATCGTCTACTAAAGGAAAGTAGAGCTTTTATAGATTTTTTTTTTTTTCCCCCTCAAACTGAAAAGAAAACTTTAGAGGTTTGTTTTACTGTGGGATCTTGAGCCACTGTTGGTGTGAAAGTTTTTTTTTTTTGAGGTCTACAGGCTCCTTTTACTATTTCTCTGGCAGTGCTGGTAATGTTTTCCCATTTGCTCTTGTATATAACTTGTGAGGTCTAGCATAGCATCTAAAACTTGTCACTTTGCTGAATTCTACCCTTGTCTGGCAAGAGCTATACAGAGCAATTTAATAGTTTAAAAAAAAAAAAAAAAAAAAAGCTCAGCCTGGTTAGTCTAGAGCCTTTTCTTTACAACCCGTTCAGCCTCTGTTCTGGACCCTTGTCTCCAGAGAGCTTTTCTCCCCTTCCTCATTGCCAACAGGATGATAAGCCACCTGCCTGCCTGGATCAGTGAAATTCACTTAGTTCTCGCTCAGAGGGATCAATATGTGCTAGTGGTGTATGGATTTCATGTGAAAACTGCCTGCTTGATACAGATGCACTTTTTTTTCCTTGGGGTAGTGCTCCAGGGTAGTATGCATCATGAGCTCTTTTGCTGTCTGTATATATGGAAAAAATAACCAACATTTTTGTGTAGCAGTACTATTGTATAACAATGGAAGAGAAACGAGGAATCTAATTACAAAGTGAATATTGTTTTGCTGAGGAGCACAAAGTGCATCTCTTTTACCTACCCTTCTAACTGCCTGTAACTAACATTGTAACTATTTAATAAAGACCTTAGACTCTAGGGAAAGGTTTAAGATCTGGTTTGATTGGATATCAAGGAGCAATATTGCATTTATAACTAATCTCTGGTCTTTCTGCTTTGCTTTTTTTCTGACAAAACAAAACAAACAAACAAAAAAAACCACAACGGAATCAGTTAAATTGTAATTACTCACATTATTTCTTATGCTGTTGCAGAAGAAAAGACTGGTAAGGGTTAAAATATCTGTTTACTTCTGTTTTCCTAGTTAATTATAAATAAAACCTCCATTACCCTGTGTGACTTCTGTAAAATTCCCCTTATAGGGTTTGATTCCAGCTCCTCAAAGGCATCACTCTTGTTGCTGCTAATGGGTTTGCGGGAGGAAGGGCTGTGCTGCTCAGGGCGCAGCAGTGTGCTGAGGCACCCAGCTTTGCTCTGGAGTTTTAAAGGTTTAATGTGTGAATTTTGGATGTCTTCCCTGTCTTCTGGATTCTGCTTCTCTGCCTGTGACAATGTCACTTTTACATAGTAAACAAGTTACAAATAAATCAGTTTTTGAAGATGGTCTTGGCTTCCCAAACGCAGTTTTAACAGCCGAGCACTGTTGTGTGGTTAATGCTTTGATAATGCAAGACTGACCCGAAGTGGTGAGGCAGGTGTTTTATGTTTGTGTTATGCAGAGAGGGTGCTTTAATAGAGTCCCTGGAGCATTTAAAAAACAATATGCACAATTATTTCATGTTTATTAATGATAGGCCAATGCTAGCAGACCGAAGTTGTTTGTAGTAATCCTGACTCTGCACATGGCCTAAATATTTGAGTCTGAGCTCACAGAAAACCCTGGATTATGCAGGTGTTTCTATTTGTGCTCTCTTTGTGAAAGGTAAATACAGTCTACCCTGAAGTGGGAAGTTTGGTCTGTCATATAATTATGGCTGTAAATATTATCTGTAACTAAGGCAAACGAGTCAATGAGCTGTTCCATTGTCTTCTTTGGTACGGTGACTGGTCCGTGCCTGTAGGATGATGGCACAGCCAATGCCCTGTGGCTTGTGCTGCTTACTAAGGCTATGCAAAAATGATCTTTATCATTTACACCATGGAAAGTGTTCCTGCACTACACTGCTCGTGACAACAGGAAAACATTTCCCAGCAGAAGGCATCCAAATCTGGGGCAGGGCTTTGAAATGCTTCTCTTAATTATCTTACCTGATTATTGCTTTAACATGTGACAGATTGATATGTACCCTATGGTGCGCCTTAGAGCTGCACTTGTATCTAGAGTAAAGGAAAATTGCTTGTACACCAAAAGCACAATGCAATGACTAAAGCAGTAGTCTTAGTCTCAGTTTTATTCAAATTGCTTGAAGAATTCTAAGAAAAACACCTGGGTGATATTTTCAGAGGTGAAATATCTTTTGCTTGAAAATGCCATGTTGGGCTCATGTTGCAGAAGGAGAAAAAGGCTGGTGGTCTTACTGTGTACATGAGTGTTAGAGCTGAATGTGAGCAGGAGAAATAGAACAACCTTTTTCTTGTTTTGTCTGGTCTTTGTGTATTCTAGGGATTCACCTGAAAGGGAATCACCTTCCTAAGCAGTCTGTTCCCTTTCCAGGCAAAGGGAAACCTCTGGTACACAGAGCTGCTTGGAAAACTGCAGTCAAAGCCCTGCTATGTCAAGGGTTTGGAGGGAGTCACTTGTTGGGCTTGGACTGGATTTTAATGTCATACGGGAACGGTGCTTGAAGAATATGACAGGCCTCAAGAATCTAAAAGACAAACAGCTTAAAAGATTAAAAGTACTCCTGAGTGTGGTGTGTGGAAGCACTCAGTCTTGTGAAACACCTGCATTGTAGGTACCTGTGTCTGAGCTGCCACCTACTCTGCTTGCAGTCAAGTCATTGTGTTCTTCAAGTACAGTTAATCTCTCTAAAACGTCTGACTTGCAATGACGTTATTTATGCTTTTGAAGTGCTTATTTTTTCTACCTGGACTGTAGACAGATTCTGGCCCACATAGCTGCGGTCCTGAGATCTGTGGTTCAGGAGATGCGCTTCCACCCACCTTGTCCCTCCTCTTATGTGCCAAGCATGCTGACAGCCCGCTAATTTAAGTGCGCCGGATGTTTCAAAATATACCACTTTGCCACTGTAATTATAGCTTAACATAAAAATGAATATGCTTTGTTCCCTGTGTTTCTAGGTTACTGCTCAGCAGCTATGTTTCAGCTGGACACTTGAGCCTTAGAATGAAAATGTAAATTATCTCAAAATAAGTAACAGCTCCTTAGCAGGTGACATATTCTGCATATAAGGTTGCTTGGTTATTAGATGTTCATTGGCCTCTTTAATTGGCTTTTTTGTTTGTAGCCTGGCAGTGGAAATGTATCTGGAGCATGGGTACAAAGCAGGGGAGTCTGACGGACTGCTGCAGGAAGGGTGTGCTGCCCATGGAGCACGGGGATGGGGCAATTTGTGGGAGAAGCACAGTAATGAATGCTCAAGGCTAGCAGCATGCAGCAAGGAGGAAAAACTGGGTAGGAAGGGAAGATTCATAATGGAAAAAGCAATATGTTAGCCTGTCAAAGTTAGCTTATAAGGAGCGATGTTAAAATACAATGGCAAATACAGCTGCCACAGCGAGGTGTAAGATTTCTTGCTATGTATGGGAGTCTTCCATGCTACGCTGGAACGCTTTGAAAGGCTGCAAATGATAGTCTGGGTACTGTGTGTGTGCAGGGCTTCCCCTAGGTTGTAGCGGTGGGACTGATACCAGATGGAGGAGTACAGATATAAATATGTACTCATTTCGGGGATGCCTGGGACTTCAGAGTGGTTTGACAATCATACGGGATGAAGGCAATGAATCAGCACTAACATGTTAGTTTTACATTGATAAGTCTGCTGGCAGTATTGGAATTGATCCTGAATTTTTGTGATGTAAGATCAGACCTAAGAAGGGTTCGTGCTTGAAATTTGGGCTTCCATACTCTGTCAATTTGTATCACAAAGACTACATTATTCAGGCATGAGTTTTCACATTTAATATCATATTACATATGTCCCTTGATGAATAAAGGACTGTAATGTAATTGGGTTCAACCATCAGGTTAAACCCTCAAGAGAACAGAGTTCAAGCTGTTAATAAATTGCTGCAGAATTCCAGCATAAAATTGAAGGTTGGTAATTCCATCTGTTGTTTTAATAGAGATAGAGAATGATTACTTAAATATTTCAGAAAAGCTCAGCTGAGTAACAACCAGAGATGTAGTGGGATGTGATTATTTACAAGCCTCTGAGCTACCAACTCCCTGTGATGGCATGTTAAGACATAAAAATGACAAAAAATGATTTAAAAAACGTAATTTTATTTTTTTCTGTATACTTTCAAGCTTGCTCAGAATTTTTTTTTTTCCTGTGACCGAGGAAAAAATTACAATATTTACAGACCTTCAGCCTCACTAGGCACTGTTGCCACAACCTGGCAAGGCTCAGGCTTGAGCTGAGTGCCTTGTCTGAAGCATCTTGCTCAGAAGACGTGAAATTCAAGAGTTTCATTGGGTGATGTTGGAGTAGCTGGCAAGGGAATGAAGAAAATGTAACTGATGCTGGGCTGCTTTGAAACTGAGTGGTAGGAGCTGGCTGGAGAAGGGAGGAAAAAATGGGAGAGCAAGCAGAACTTGTGGAGCAGGTAAAAATACTGTTCATTAAAGACCTGGAAATTTCTATAATGCATTAAGGCATTCTCAGTTTTTAGTTTGTTCCGACAACGAACTTGTGCTCAGTTCAGTTCTTAGCGTGTAGAACTGCTTAGCTATGCAGTGCAGGAGCTATAGCTGCTGTGCATTGAGTGGGTGAGGGCTGCTGGAGACAGGTGATGTTCTCTTCCACAAGGCTTCCTCTGTAGGATGCCGTCAGCGGAGCGACGGGAGCACTGTGCCCCTTGATGCCCGTTAAGCTGCTGCTCTTGGTGGCAGCACCAGCTGTTCGGCTGCCTGGCCTGGAGACGAAGGGAATGTGGGCTGGGGTGGTCGAAAGCAGTTCTTACCTTCTTGGCCATAACTGCAGAGCCTCTGCTTGCTGCTGGATCAAAACTCAGGCAGGCAGCAGAGGATATTGCCCATCAAGCCTGAATGCTGCCTTCATTACGGAATATAAGCCTGCTTCCTAGGTGAGAGGGTGTCAGGATTTCTTTCAATTAAAATTGAATTCGTGTTTCTGTGCCAGGGTGTACAACATTTTTGCATAACAGAAGGCTTCTTTGTAGAAGTATATTCAAAGACTTAACAGTGTGAGGTTTAAAAATACATCGTATTGAATTTTTTAAAACCTCCACGTTTTTGTAACTGGGTCATCTATCCATTAACTCATACCCTTTATTGCAGAGATATTAATATAGATTTTTTCACAGCATTAATCTCCTGTAATATGAATCTTTTTGCTTCTAAAATAAAAACCATTAAGCATTTGTTGGCTTGTGCAAAAATACAATAATGTGATAGCCTGATTAGATGTTATTTCATCTGCTAATGGTGCACAGCGGCTAAGAAAGGCCTTAAATAAAATGGGAGAATTGCTCTATTAAATAACAATTAGTTTATCCCTCTGAATCTATCCTTAAATAGACCTCCCACTTCCTTGGCAGCACTTTTAGGGACAGATTAATGAAAGCTGGGGATGATTTGCATATGCAAATTACGTGTGCAATTATTTCTGTAGCCATGGCAGACATAGGTGACAATGCAACTTCCTTCAAGTTTTTGCCAGAATGTAGATGTGCCCTGTTGGATCTGGTGAGTTAATGCAGCTGCCTTCAGCTCCTCATATCTGGAGTGAATGAGGAAGGGTGGCAGAGGAGCTCTGGACTTTGGTCCATATGCAGGCTGCCCCCTTGGCTGGTCAACCTCTTGGTTCCTGTGTTCATTTTCTTCATCTATTCATGGAGCTGCCGCTACATGCAGCTCTACCTGAGCTACAGGAGGCTGCAGACATGGGCCTCAAAGAGCTGGAGCAAAGCTGCTGTCAGCCATGGCTGGGGAGGTGGGCAGGGGCTGTGGTGGCCTGAGGCTGGCCCTGCTCCTGCACATGCAGGGGGATGTCCTCCTGACCTGGGGCTGCACATCTGTAACAGCACTGAGCATCTTGAAGGGAAGCATCACAGCTTTTTTGTGGATCTGGAGCCGTGGTCTTAACGCAGGAGCTCAGAGAAGCATGGGGACAGCCTTTGTCTGTGGGGGCCCCGTCCTTGTGATGTTGGTGAATTTCTTCCCATCGCTTCTGGCTTTCTACAGAAAACAGCCCGTGTGTCTGTACGCATTGCCGTAGCTTCACAGGGCCCTTCGTGGGGGGCAGCGATGCCCAGAACCACCGCGTGTAGGCCCTCTGGTCTGCGGCAAGTTGGGTTTGCTTCAGTGGAGCTGCTCCGATTTATGCCTGAACAGAATTAGGCATAATCATTCTTGATTATTGGATGGTTTAATACCAGCAGGTTATATACGTGCTGGCAGGTACAAACTCGTGATTCTAAAAGTTGAGGAAAATTCAAGAGAAATTTTGTGGTCCTCTTCAGACTCCCTTGCCAATGTTTGTGTTATCATTCATGTGTCCCTGGCATGCTTTAAGGGACAGTTGCTTGAATCCTGTAAGAACAGGAACATTTTAAATGGCAAAGGACACATTAAAAATCTTTCATTTCATAATGGAATAATTTGTCGAAGATATATACGTAATGTAAAATGTATTTACCTGAATACATTGCTAGCTAATGGACAAAAGGTAAGATTTTTGTGTTCTGTGTAAGAAAGTATGCTGTTCTGATCCAACAATTTCTCTACTTTTTCCACAAAGAGAGGAAAATGGGGATTTCAGATAGCTTTCTTGTGCCCTTTTTGCCTTTCATCTCAGCACTGTGGTCCCGTGGATTGAGCAGGTCCATGAGCCACGCTGCTCTTCTAACTGAGGTGATTAAAAAAAAAAATCCTTGTAGAGTCATCCATGTGCCAGGAGCTGAAGGTTTGTGAAGGCTGTTCTTGTAAAAAGCCTTCAGGTTCTCCAGCACGGCGCAGTGTAAAGACGCCCAGCATCCAGCAAACAGCTTGGTCTAGGGTGCTGTAACTGCGGAAGGCCTCTAACAATACCTGTTACCTTTGTCATTACATTGTGTGGAGAAAACACCAGTGGGACGGTTTGTGGGATGAACCTCCTGTCTGCTGAGTTCCAGACTCCTTTTAAAGGCGCTGTCTGGTAGATCTGTGTGTCTACACACAGCACTAGCGAACAGGATCACGTATTGGGGGAGTTTGTGCTTATTTACAGCCTGTCTCAGTCCTCATCCCATAGACTCTCACAAGCCATTCTGTCATTGATCTCCGGGGTTTTGTGGAGCAGTTAGTCATCCAGAATTAACTTGCTCTGGCTGGCTTCACAGGCTGAGGTAATGGTACTCAGGTTTCCCCGGTCCCCACTAATGTGCTTGCAGGGAATCATTGCCACTGGTGGAAAAAGTGAATCAAAAAGTTAACCCCCTTCTCTGATTTATATATATATTTTTTTTGGTGGGCCTCTATGGATGTTTATTTTCTTCAGTAAACACAGGTGAGAGCCTGCACTGAACTTTAGAGCTGTAGTAGCTATTGGAAATTACTGAACGCTGCAAGGTTTGGAATATTTTGACTGGTAAATTCAGGACCTGCAGCTGGGTTTGCATTGGAAGCTTATCCCGGGAGTGATCAAAGGCAGGGGAACTTTTGCCGCTGTTTAAAAATAAATACATAAAAAATGGCCTAGGTGGTCTTTGACAAAGGTGATCAAGGAAAAGAGCACTTTCAGAAGCACACACCTGTTTCTTGAAGTGCTGAGCAGTTACCCATAGGTTGCGGTGGGTAAGTGCCTTGAAAAACCAACTGCTTTCATTGTCATCTGTAAGATGAAAATAACCTGGTGTCATCAGGTAGCTAGAAGCTTGGCAAAATCTGTTCAGTTCTGGAGCTGACAAACTCTCAAGCTTTTTGAAGTGATTAAGTTGATCTTAAGTTGGAAGATAAAGCTAAATATTAGAGGGCTGTGGTTGTTTTGGTCACAGGTAAATAAGGTTCAGACATCAGTATTCATGTAAAAGGTGATGTTCCCCTGCCATCTGGGATTAATAAGGGCTACAGTTCTGCAGTTTCATCAATCATTCTGTATGTCTATCCAGTATCGCTGGCTTTCAGCACTATTCACAAAGATAGAAGTCCTCTGTTTCCCTTGAAATACAGACTTGGGAGTGTAGAGGGCTCCCTGTTTTGGTTAGCACCTCGTCTGAATGGGGGGTGGACAGGGAACCTCTCCCTTTCTCCCCTGTCCCATGGAAAGGGCAGACCAGCCTCCTGCCCTGTTATCCTGCCTGCCAGTGGTCCATCTGTGAAGCCAGGAACAATATTTTGCTAAAACTCCACTTGGGTGAGTTGAAGATCAACTATTTGACAAAGTTTAGTACTTGCTATATGTAAATGTAAAACTCGAGCACTACAATCCTCCCTGGACTATGGCTAAGCCCTTGAAAACTACAACAAATGTTATTGAAACAAGCAAGCCCAAAACAAAACTCAACATTTTAAGGCAAAACAAGCCCTGGGCAAAACTAAGTACAGCCTCAGCATCCATTATACATTACTGGATGCTCATTCTTATAGCTGCAGGTGATCTAGGTACTCCATAGCAACAACCTTGAAGCATTTTTATTAAGAACTGGACTATTAAAAATAGTGGTTGCAGGGACTCTTCAAAAAAAATCAGTGTTTGACAGACTACAAGAATTTTGGGAGCTAAATTTATCTTTGCAATCAGGTACTCCCCTAACTGATTTTTAGAGGGGATTTTTTTTTTTTTTTTTTTTTTTTAACCCCGAAGCCAGCTCCCAGCTGAGGGCCGGGACAGCGGGGTGTCCCACGGCGCTTCCCAGAGCAGCAGGAACAGGCTCGCTTCAGCAGGGGCAGCCGAAGCCTTGGCACGGGGGGAGCTGCCCAGCCTGCTGGTGTGCTCAGGGCATGGGTAAGGAAAACTAATTAGAACATAACAGAACTGAGAGCTTGTACAGAAATCCCATGTGAAATTAGCAGCCCTGTCGGTATTTTCCACTTTGGAAAACATTGCTACTTACATTGCTATTAACCCCCCCCAACATTTTATAGGGCCCTTTATGCTTATAATTGCAAGCTAGGTGGTATCGAGCACCTTTTTTCAGCCACCTGGGTGGAATGGCAGTGGGGGGTCAGTCCTGCAGCCGTGCTGGAGCCCGGCACAGCCTGATGTGACAGTCTGCTGGCACCCGGTGACAGCCAGGCACTGCCCCAGGGCAGCTCTGTGCTTCGGAGCTGCTCGGTCGCTCAGCCGGCGTGTCGGAAACCGACCGCGACGTTTCTGCACTGGAATGAAAATAAACGGAGAAGCTCCAAACCTGCCCATGAAAGAGTTATTTTCTGATTTGCGGCGTTACGCACAGAGTCTGTCCTCCTCCCTTTGGCCGGTGTGGGTTCCTCCCACAGCTGGGGCTGAGCCTGGCACGGCTCCATGTCCCCCCTGGCAGCGGTCAGGAGCACTCTGCCTTCCTTCCGAGTTCATCGGGACTCAGGAGATTAATTTGGAAGGTGATGCCAAAGCAAGGCAACATACCTTTGAGGCCAGAAGTGAGGTCCTGGTGCTGGGCTGCGAGATGGTCTCATCTGATGCTGATGTTGGTGAGGGAGGGAGACGTTTGCCTTCCCAAGAAAGCCGTAGCTCTGAAAGGGGTGGTTGTGCCAGTGTCCTTGCTGCCTGCTCGTGGGCAGCAGTGCTCCCGTGCACTGCTCAGGAAACCACAGCTCAGCGACTGTGCGATGAGAGCAGAGGTCTGGTAGGGCACTGGGGCGATGCGGCTGAACCTTGTCCTTGGAGCGAGCACACCGGGCAGGCTCCTGTCCCTGAAGGCTATTTCAGTAGAGCACAAAATAAGGTTTTCTTTAAGCAGGTCAGCTACTGGGTTGGACAAGCCATGATTTAAATCTTTTAAAAGAAACTACTAGCTACTGCCCCTTGCTGTTGAGCCTGCTGCTCTCAGCAGCAATGTTGAGCTCCGGTGGAAAACTCTCCTCGCTGGAGTGGCCCCTGGCCAGAGGCCTTCCTGCTCCTCCTCTGCCAGCCCTGCACACTGCCTGGCCAGCTGGGGGCTGGTTCAATTTAAAGAAGAAAAAAAGAACCTATTTTTTTTTTTTTTCTAAGCTTCTTCCAGATGATTGTGTCCAGTCCCTAGCAGAAAGGTGTGATTTCCCCTTACCCCTGGAGGGTGATGCCCGACCAGACCACAGGTGCCAGAAGCAGGCAGGTGGGCAGCTTCCCTCCCCGTTGCCCTTCGGCTCTTCAGCAAAGCCTCAGGTATGGGATGGGGGGTGAGCAAAGCAAATCGTGATGTGTTGAGCTTTCTCCTGCCTCGGGATATGGATTGGCAGATAGAAAGGCTTTTGAAAATGTTGTTTCAATTTCCTCTGTGCTAAATTGAAAAGATTAGCTGGAGAATATACCAGGACTCATCAGAATCATTTGTTCTCCAAAGCGAGACAGGACTCCTTACCCACTCTGTGTAAGAGTGCTGGTCTGCAATATACGTGTAGGTGTAATAAAAATCCTCGGGAGTACAGAAGATGAAACCTGGGCCTCTCTAAAATCAGTGGAAACTGCTGAATGCAATGCAGATCTTCCACTGTAAAAGTCAGAGAGGCATCCATCAATCCATCAGGCTGTTGAGACCTAGAGTTCATAGGAATTAACAGCAACTTGCTGGTGTAGATTTTTAATTTTCTTGTTTTCTGGTGTCCTGGAGAAACAGCAAGCTGCGTACGCTAGGTCAGTGCCTTTTTCCCTCTTAACTGATGAGAAAGCAGATGCTGAAGTCTGCTTTGTCTGGCTGGTAACAAAAGGAAGTAGTCACTCAGCCAGGGAAATGTTAAAAGAGAAAGTAAATGAAGACTTAGAGAAAGATTAAGAGCATGTAGATCTCAAATAACAGGGAAATCTGCGTCTCTGTCATAGCAGCAACAAGCCCCTGTGCTCCTGCAAACCATCACTTCTTTTCCAAGTCAGAGGAGAGGCTGTTCCTTGTTCTCCTGTCAGACCATGGGATGAGAAGTGCTTATCCCAGTGAGTTTTGCATTTACTTGCCTACGTTGCAGTATGGTGCCATCTAGAAAATGTCATCCTTGCTTCTAGTTTTTGAGCCTAAAATCCCAAGCTGTGATCTTTCATCTGGGCTGGCTGGTGTGCTACACAACCCCAGCGCTGTATGTAGCCTCAGCTTCGTGGAGCCCTCTGTGACAATGCAAATGCAAAAACCTTTTGCAGGATTTGAAATGTTGATTGCATTGGTATTATATAGGACATTGGGGACATAAGAGTCATCTGGCATTAGCTTCATCCTGGCATATTTATATTCACATTTTTCTATTTATGATTATTTAGGAATAGGATCAGGAAATGGATATTGAAACACACTTGCCAAAAGCAAAAATGACTGAAACAGATGACGTGATTCTTCAGAGCAATTTTGTACAATCAGGGAAAGAAAGGAGTAAAGGAGAAAAGCAGTTTACATGTCAGTTCTGTGAACTTCAGGGTAGAGAGGCCAGAAAACACAGTGACAAACAACCTAACCCAGGCAGCAGCGAGAGTGTGCTGTGAGGGGTGGTGACGATAAACTTGGCCACAGAGACCATCAAAAACCCTGCAGCGTAAAAGATCGTGGTCCAGAGTTACCAGGTTACTGGACTGAAATCAGAACTGAAACTGGATGCCAGCAGGATCAGACACTTTGGCTCCACAGAAGAAAACTGGGCAAGAATAAAGATTTTTTCATCCAAATGCCATGGCTCCAGTCCCTGGCTCTGGGAAAAACATGCACAAGAGCTTGGTTATTGTTTTCCCTGAAGCCGTATTGTACAACTCAGTAAAGTGCAAGAAAGTGCATTTACTTATTAGGGTATCTAGAAAAAGGGAGAGCAGTAAGCTAAAGATAGGGCCTGGGGTGGAGGTCTGGAAGGACCCTTTTGGTCACTGGTTCCGTGTCTAATCCAAGCAACGACAGTCATTGTCTCATTGTCCTTTCGTAATGTATTATAAAACTAGTTGGGTGTTTGCTCTCTCTGCCCCTACTGGGAGGCTGTTTCAAAACTTTTCTAAGAAACCTTATTTCCTCTCTAACCCTCACAAAGCCTTTTTTTTTTTTTTTTTTTTTTAACACAATTGTTATAACTGAGGCTAATAGCGTTTGGTGCTAGCAGCTTCCAGGACGGTTCAGAAATTGTGATCAGCTGCCCTCACAGCATTTGTTTTGCTAAACTGGATGAACCACTGGCTTGTTCCTACTGGAAATACCTCACCTGGCATAGGTGGTGGCTGTTGGATTTGTTTTTCTCTGATGTGCCAGCCTTATCGGCTTGTATTAGCTTCCATGCTTACTCCTAAAATTCTTTTGGAAATGGCTATGACCTGGCTACTCCTGGAGCCCCTTCCCAAGCTTTCCCAACTTACAAGTTCCAGGCTGATTTAGCACACTTCATGTAAGGAAACTTCAAGGCTCCTTAGTGCTCATATTTTTGCTTTCTTCAGGACAGTTCACTTAGTTTCCTCTTCCTGAAGAAAGAAGGAAATGTCCTTTTGAAATAGAAATCATACTTCTAGATCTACATTTGTTTCTTTTTCCATTTAACTAGAATCCACTTCTGATTACTTAATTCAAATGTATTTTGAATGTGCAAGTCTTCCATAACATCATTTCTGATGTGAAGTCTAAAATAGCCCTGTTTGTCAGTTCAATAATTATCTCATAAAGAAATCTGTCAGCTGCCATGTTCAGGAATAACTCTGACAAATCATTAGTAGAAGACACTGGTTCATATAAGCAAAGTTAAAAATGCTCACGATAGAACTCTTTATATTCAGCTTTCTAATAAGAGTGGGTTTCGGTAATAGGTTGTCTTGGTGACCTCTCTAGAACTTCTCATACTTCTTCCACGTTATTTAAAACAAAATTTAAATATTTTTCTGTGCTATCATTTCTTATTTTAGTATAGTTTATTACAACACTGAGAGATAATTCTACCTCTTTGTAGTATCTTCTTAAGCACCAGCTGTAGGTACCTGGCCAGTGGTTAGGGTGGCACGTTCCCTAGGCTTTGAATATCCGTACATCATCCATGGTCAATCACGCACCAGTGAGCTTCTGTCTTCATTTCTCTGTTCAAGTTTATGGTATTGTATAAATGATAGTAAAGGCAGGCATCTATTTTAAGCCCCTCAGAAATATGATATATAATCGGATGTTTAATTTTAGTATCTGTTGAGCCGCTAAGCTTGATGGCCGTGGTTCTGGGACTATACACGCTCGTGGGTAAGTCCGACGTGGAGTGTCACTGACTGAGGTGGTTATATGCTGCAAGAAATCATCTACATGAGTGAAGGCACTGCGTCAGGCCTCCAGCTAGCACCCACAGCCTCATCGTGTGACCTGAGGTGGCCGTAAATGAATAAATCTATCTGTGCTAATTAGCTATGTTATGACACTGACCTAGTGGGAAGACCTCCTAAACAGCTGAGGGACTGCACAAGGACGCTTTGTTACCTGGGTTCTGTTGGATTGGAAGAAGCTGTTTTTCAGACAAAATAAGCAATTGTTCACCATAGTGTTCGGTGCTGATCCGAAACACCGGGGCAGAAAGTGGCATTTGTGTGGTCTGAAGTTGCCAATAAGTTGCCCTGTGCTGTGCAGCGAATTGTTTAATCTTCCTGATTTAGGTTCTCTGCCTGGTGAATAGAGAATAATATTTAGCTTTCTCAAAAAGGTATGATGTTGGGATTAGTTTCTGTAGGCGGCTGAATTCAGCAGAAGAGGAGCTTAATAAATCAGGCAATCTAGACTTAAATTGCAATCTGGACTCCTCCTTTGGGACTCCTTTGGAAGGCAAGTACATTGAGACATTTTCTCTTGGCTTATGGTACAGTAAAACTGCTGTACCAGTTTATTAGCCAGTCTATTTTTTTTTCTTTTTTATTTTTTTATCATTTTCAACATGTCCTGTCTGTTATGGAGCCTATTACTGCTGACAAGATGATCAGAAAGTTGGGCTTTGAAGCGTAGACTGCTTGTTCCTTATTGCTGTTCTTCAGAGTTAGTCCTGGTTTGTTGCCGCAGGTTTACAGTGGAGCTGCTGTGCGCTGGTAGAAATCTCTTGGAAAACATCTAATATCTTAATTTATACCAAACAACGAGGAGTACTGTTCATGCTGCTCGTGGTCTTCATCATCACAGATGTCATCTTGATATCCTTTCTAATCAGCCGGGTAGAAATGCTTTCAGCCTGGGGCGTGCATGCGAAGCAGAGAAAGAAGCAGTCAGAGGCGGCCTGGCAGAGGTGGGCTTCTCCATGGTCCCTGGGGAGCAGGGACAAGAGGCAGGCCAGAGGTGGGTGGGAGTCGTGTTGAGGTTTTCTATCTTTTTTTTTTTTCTTTTTTTTTTTTTTTTTCTTGCAGGGGGTGAGACAGGCAGTGCCATTTTGCCTGTGTTCCCCTTTGCTTACTAAAGGTCTGCAGACCGGTAGCGTACCTCCTTGTTGTAAACTGTAAGAATGAGCTGAGATGGCTGTACACATGCCCCTGGGGGTAGTTTGTGTCTGACTGTATTGCCCTGGTCCACTTGTTAGAAATTATTTTAATCAGTGTGACTAACTGAAGCCAATCTCTTGATGATCTAAGCCAATGGAGTCTTTTTAGCAAGTTTTGCTAGGCACCAGAATCTGGCAGCCACCCCAAAAGTCGATGAAGCACTCTGGAAGAGAAAAATTCTAGCTGGTTGCTAAAGGTAAGGTTTTAAATGCGTAGCTCTTTAGATAAATGGAATACCGGAGATACTCCTGAAAATACTTAGGCATACACTTGACCTTAAGCATACACGTAATTCCATTAACTTCAGTGGGACTATATATATTTCTAAAGTGAACCACCTGTGTGTTTGAGAAGACCAAACTATTAAGCTTCTCTGCATGCAGAATTTTATCCTGTGACTAAGTCTTTGTGTATCATGCTGTAAATTTACCCTGAAGCTTGCCATAAACTCAGTGCTTTTAAAGAG